TTTTTGGTTTTGTTTTTGTTTCCATCAAATTTGTTATTAGATATCCCACACTGTGGTAATAGAAGATCTGCCAGAAATGGTGAGATTTTGTAAGAGCCTGGGCGTACATTTACTGTAAAAAAAAAAAAAAAATTGATTTAAAATTCCCACTATCCCTTGTTTGTGCGCATGTGTAGTCGCGCCAACGTAAACAAATTTAGTTACATAAAGTCCTAAAGGACGAAACTCGTCACACGAAAACATTTTTTTTTTGTGATTTTGTTATTAACCTTGAGATCTTATGAAAATTGTAGATTTTTTTTTTCAAATGTTGATTTTTGATCTATAATTTCGTCCTTGTTTTTATCAAAACAAAAATGTCGTCAACGTACCCTGTGTAGATTTGTGGCTTTTCAGTTGTTTTAAACACTTTGTTTTCAATATGAGACATCTAAAAGTTAATGAAAACGTCACCTACTGGGTTTCTCATGCTGACGCCATTAGTTTGGATTAAGGTGTTGCCATTATGATCATATTAATTATGCCGCTGTTAAGGAGTAGTTTCCGAAAAGTTGCTGGTCGAATTTTTGGAGGAGAGATTCTTTGTAGATGCAGTCACTAATTATGTCGATTGTTTCTTCAACTCGGACGTTGGTAAAAGATTTTCAACAAGATATGGAAGAAATCATTTTTTGATGTAATATTGTAATTGTTGGGTGTTTATGTAGAAGTTATGTCATTGAAGTTTTTTGATAGCTCGTATACTGGTCGGAGAGGAAAACCTGCTTCATGCAATATATGATCTTCTTGATTTTTAAACTCCCGATCTCAGCGTTGTTCGCTGTAATCAGTTTGTTTACGTACCTTTTTAATGATTTTGTTGGATTTTTCATCAATTTTGTAGTGTCATCTAGGATATATTGTAATTTTTGGTTGTAATTTTGTCGCTTAAGAACTCTATAATTATTGGCTTCGTCAGCGCCTCTGATGATGATATTGGGGTTGTTGCATAACTATTTTGCAGCTGATATGAGTTTGTTTGCGATGATATTATTGTGTTTGCTGCGCGGAGAACGGTTTTTCAGACCTTTCGCTTTTAGTAGGTTTCTCAGATTTGGTGGCACCATAATTAATTTTTCTGTTATCATCTGTTCGATTAATTGGTAGAGTATTTCGATTTCTGTTTCCCCTTTAGATTGAGTCGTATCTAGGTTGGAGGGGAGTACTTGGGCCGATATTCAAGAATTCTATATTTACCACACACACACACGCACGCACACGCAGACACACACACACATGTATATAAATGTGAACGATTGCGTCTAGCATGAAACAGCCTGTCGCATCTGAGTGTTGACTTCAATGTTCACTTTTATATTTATATAAGCTCTATCTCTGATATTGAGCACTTTGTCCCATAAATATAGCACACCATAAAACTATATTTCTTATATATATATATATATATATATATATATATATATATATATATATATATATATATATAATTGTCAACTTTGATAATGGCTTATGTAAGCCGAAAGCTTAGATAGGATTAAAAAACATATATCAATATGGTGATTTTCTTTCGTCTTTCAATGATGAATTTATTAAGCTTATCAGACGATATGAAAGGAATTTGATTAAAATAGACAAGTTTTGTCTATTTTAATCAAATTCCTTTATTATATTATTTTATGAAACATGCATTAATATATATATATATATGTGTGTGTGTATGTGTGTGTGCGTGTGTGTGTAATTGTATATAATTTTCTATATTTATAGAGAAAGAGTGCTCACTTTCGGGATAGGACATTTATAGATGCAATATGGGTATTTATGATCTATATGTTTCTCTCTCTCTCCCCCTCTCTCTATCTATCTCTCTCTCTCTCTCTATATATATATATATATATATATTATTAAAAGCAATAAATATATTATGCCTATTATATTGAATGATATTTACTTCCCAACATACGAATATCTTTTCGTTTATGTAGTTGTCGTATGTGAATAAATTGGCCCAAATTCATGTTGCATTGTTCAAGTTTTCGATTCGCACCAGTTTTCATCAATGGTTGTGAGTGAGAAAAGAAAAATATAATAGATTCAAAATGTCTATTGTTTTTAACAATTACTGCCCAAATATACCGAACACACACACACACACACACACACACACACACACACACACACACACACACACATACACAAATATATATATATATATATATATATATATGATAATGTATTGATTACAACTTTTTGCTGTACTCGAGTTATGTCCCTTGCAATAGAAGATCCAGTTAGCAGAATTTATTTTCAGTATGTCATTAGCAGAACGTTACAATGTGGTTGCAAATACAGGAGATGACAAGAGGGATTGTGTAAAAAGAACAGGTGTTCAAAAATAATAATTAGAAAATTACATTTAATGACTTACATGTGAAATCCTCATAATATTAAGAACTTAAAAAAGATCCTTTTCATATATGCCACTATTTTTGACATCATTAGTAAACTCGTATAAAAATACAAAACGTAGTGGAAAGATAAAGAATTAATTTGAATGAATATGATTGCGCGCATACGCATATTTGAGCATTCCTTTAGTGCGTGTGAAAGAATGAAGAATCGTTTACCCAAAGCTAATGTTCATTATATCCCGGAAGTAGGTGACAGCTCATAAAATTTACACTTTATTTAAACATTAAAAGCACAACGTTATAGATTGCACTATAAACCTTCTTTCGCTGGTCTGTATGTCAAATTATGTTTGAATACAAAAGAGGTTTTGATTTTTAAAAAAGTGTTCTAATTTCATCTTATAAGCCAGAATTCCTAGTTATATATATATATATATATATATATATATATATATGGGATAACGATATATAATTTTTATATAAATTTTTATATATCATGAACAGTTTTGAACAAAGATATATGACGAATTGGAAAAGTTTTTTTGTGACGCGCTTCATCCGATGAAGTCCTAACGGATGAAATGCGTCACAATTTTTTTTTCCCAAATTGTCATACATCAAAAAAATTATTTCACTGTTGTTTAAACAAAGGATTATAGTTTCTAGAAGTCCAGTGGGTAAATTTATGGAGTTACCACCCATTTTTATACACATAATCCACTTTGCCTCACTGTACGCAAGTAGAAAGGAAAAATTTGTCACATAATTTCAGGAAGTTAATCTATATGGAAAGACCGCACGAACGTGCGCTCACACAATCACACGTACACACACACACACATACATACACACACATAAATGGCCTGAAGATTGCGTTCAGGCATGAAACAGACTGTCGCTACTCGGTGGTGACTTCAGTGTCTACTTTTATATTTATACACTCTCTATTCCTTATATTGATTACTTTTACCCATTAATATAGCATACCATAAAACTATATTTTTATCATTATATATATATATATATATATATAATACTAAAAAGAAAATAGTAGACAAGACTAGAGTCAGGCTAATGCATGGATATTTTTTAAAGTGCTAAATACACAATTCAGAAAAAGTGAATTTGTAGAGCTGATGATAAAATATAAGATTAGGAAAAACTCGGGTTTCGAACTTACGGTCTCGTCAGGGCAGTTATTTGTGAAGGATAGTATTATATATATATAATCATATAATCATATTTTTAAACAATATATATATATATATATATATATATATATATATATATATATTATATTGTTTAAAAATATGATTCCTTCACTACATAAGAGTTCTCATGTTTCAAAAACGAGAGCCGAAACCATCCAAATAATTATTAAAATTAAGTTGAATTGAGGTGTTTAGTCCCGTTTCATCTTCAAGCGAAATTTTAGGAATCTTATATATATATATATATATATATATATATATATATATATATATATATTGAGAGAGGGAGAGATAGAGATAGATAGAAGTTTATAAGATAATTTGTAAGTCTGAAACTAGGGCATTTTGATTTTTTATTATAGGTTTATGTTTTGCATAATAAAATGTTTCAAAGAGGGAACCCACATTAAACTTCAGGTATAACACACACACACACACACACACACACACACACACACACACAAAAAAAAGAACGTATAATGATCGCTTAAATCTCTAGCAGGAGAACACCAGTCAGCCCGCCATACCAGAACGTATGACGAGTGTATGTGTGTGTGTATGAGAGAGAGAGAGACAGAGGGGGAGAGAGAGAAAGAGAGAGAAAAAGAGAGAGAATCCGGACATATGTTTCCGCACAGATAATTATTTATGTAAGATAGGTGGCTTTACATGTCTTTCTTAAACGGTTGTACATCAGTGAAAAGGAATCAGAATTGAATAAGATGCTTGCAAAAAGGAGATAAAAAGATGGGAATTAAACAAAAATACAAATTCGGAACGAACATGTGTTTATCCAGGGGATGTGTTTGGTGTTCGGCGTCGTATAAAACATGCCACAGATTTTGAGAATTTGCGTGGGTAAGGACAGACATTTAAGTAAATAGGCATAATCGTTCGCTTCATCTTTGACCTTTTATAAATCGTCTCATTGACAATTAATGGGTAAATTAATGAGGAGCAGACCTTATCAATTATAATTATAATTATGTTGGTGTCGCACGTTGACATAACTAATGAAAATTCTGTTTTTATGGTATGATGTTAACAAAACTTCTCACAACTCAAGAACAATTCGGAGAATTGTTACATATTGAGTGACAGATTCGTTTTCTACGGCTTATCAACTTATTGCAGGTTATTTAAAGCCACAAAGATTGTAATTTTTTTTGGCGAGGAGGGTAGGAGAAAGCGATAATAATGGTTTAGTGATAGAAGTCTTAATAATTATCGATATGGGAGAAGATGTGGATTCATACCTTTCGCAATTCATTTATACCTTTGCAGGCAATTAAATATAACTAACCCAACGGCAATCGGAAATCGTTGAGTCGATTAATAATTCAGGGTCATTTTCCATTACAAAACCCACACATCCAAGCATGCAGCACCTGGTATTCACAAGCGGTCACCCATTTCGTTACTGACCATGATCGACCTTGCTTAACTTTGGTGATCGTAAGGGAACCGGGGTTTCAACGCGATATGGCCGTAAGCCGAATCTTCACAGATTGATGATGCCAGTTTTCTGGCGGTCTACAATCTCCCTAAGCTCCTTTTCAGTTATGTAGATGGTGGCAGTGGTGTTGGTGATCATTATTATTATTATTATTATTATTATTGGCGCGTGTCCGAGTGGTTAGAACGTTCGCTTTCAGACCACGAGACCCGGTTTTGGAATGTCATCTTAGACGATTGACGAGGGAGGTGAATTAAAAAAAAAGCCGTCGATGGTTGTGCTCGTACGTAAATCACCGAGGCTTTAAGCGTACTGGCCTCGTTCAAAAACTGCTCACGCCAGATTATGCGCTCTCTCTAAGAAACCGTCACTAAGGTCCGCTCAGCATAGTTGCTATAAAAACAACAGAGCAAGCATCTGTAATAGGGTGTGGTTAACCGCCCAAAGAGGATACTCGAAAACGAGTAGTAGTCGGCCATTATTATTATTATTGAGATAGCTATACGCCAGCAAATATACGAAGGGTACAAATATACGAAGCTCAACATACCCATCAGGACAGCCAGTCTGATAAGAGTATAAGAGGCACATGTACTACAGCCAAATGTGCGCGCTGTGGTGAAAAGTTTTATCAAAAGAAACGCAAATCTTTGCATTTGGGGACCAGTTAGAAATACATTTAGTTTGAGAACCCAATGAACATGGAAGCTCTCCGATTGAAGATATTCCTAATTATCTAGATCTGTCTCTCTAGTCGCCTCATCCGCCTCATTCTTCAAACTTAAAAAAAAAAACCCAAAAACAAGTCTCTCGACACCTAGCCATAATACTCATTCACTATTCAAAAACAGAGATACACAATTTATCAGTCACTAGGAGACATGCTCAACTGGTTTTGGCCAGGCAGCTGGCAAATTGTAGTACTGAAAGGGATATTTACTGTAGTTCATTTTAATTCACAAAACAAAACATGTGCTGTTAACACCTCCAATAAATTATTATTATTATTATTATTTTCTTTGATTTCTGTTGTATATCCCTTTCCTCCCGGTTCTCAACCAGAAGGCTAAAGTCAGAAATTACATCATGACATTTCCACTGAACATTTTTGTAAAAAAACAAACAAAAAAAAAACACCTATGATCACACATTTTACATTGATAAATCCCTTCGTTAGGGGTAGAGAGTTGAAGCAGACTTTCGAAGGTAAAGAAAACCCAATTCTAAATAGGAATCAAAAGTTAACCTTTACTTCTGTTCAGATGAGCGAGGAGGAGCGTGACCTGGACGATAGGTAAATCCAATTTACGCCTATTGGAGGAAGAAAATAATAATAATAATTACAGAATAACATTTCATAGTTCAGGCGGAGACGTCAGAGGTACAGAGTTGAAGGAAACAGAAACCCAATCCTAAACAGGAAACAAGGGATAAACCTCTACTCCTGTCCAAAGAATGGGTGAGGGGTATGAACTAGGTGATAGGCGAAACTATCTACTCCTATTAATTCGTCAGTTATTCAGCAAACCATAAAAATATGCACAAAATCATAACCACATCTTGACAGTATCTTTACCGACATACCTCTCCGTACTACATGGGCAGTGCCAGTAAAAATAATTTTTTAGACTTCTTGAAAAGAAGGATTTCCAAGTATCATGTTGAGAAATTTCTCAGTTCCTTTCTTAATCATTTCAAGAGCCCCTAATATTATAGGGATAATACTTGCTCTAAGACGCTCCATTTTGTTTCAATTTCTATATTTGAGTAATTACTCAAATTCCTGAATTCTTTGAAAGAAATATTGCATTCGCATGGTACACTCATGTCGATCACCTGACAAACTCTATTTGGGTGTTTTTTAGCATTTATATCTGGTCTGTATGCTTTGATTGTTCGACCGGTGTTCACAGGAAAGTCCCATAAAACAGTTACTTTTTCTCCTTCAGTTACAGGTTTAGGAAAATGTTTGTACCATTTATCTTTAGTTTTAATTTTGTATTGCCTACTATTCTGTCATGTCTGGATTTGTGTTCTTGTCGGAGCTGTTGTAGAGTAGTTTTCACAGTGGAGGCTTGTATTTTCAACTAAGTCGTCCTAAATTAGGTTCGACGTACAAAACGTTAGGAACTTGAAATAAGAGTTAATGACGCAGCAATCTAGTTGTGATGGTTGATACTTCAATGTCCGACATCGACTGACTCACTCAACACCACTGAGCTCAACTGGCGACCGCTACTAATACTACTACTTATTATGTGTGGGAGAGTCTATTAATAATAGAATAGGTACGTTCAGGTATGACAGGGGCCAACATCCTACACCCAGAACTAAGTGATCTGTTGTGTCATCAATCTGATTGCAAAAGCTGTATTTTGGATCAGTTTAGTTTTTAATGGCATTAGTTTGGTAGTTGCGTGTAAATCGATTAAATAAGCTCTGACAAGCTAATGTCATTAACAGAAAAACTGAAATAATCCAAAATGTAAGTTTTGCGATCAGTTTGACGAAACAATAGTCCATTTAGTGGCAGGAGGTAAGATGTTGGCCTCGGAAGAATACACATCCAGGCATGACAGAATAGATCAGTACTTACATTGACTAAGTCTCTCAGTTTGATTCCTCGCGTTTCCTGATTGACCACAAGTAATCCAGTAATTTTTCTTTTACTAATAAATACTCAATACACAAAGGTCCAAAAGTCCATCCATAGTTGTCCGGCTTTCTGGATTAGAGTGTTTCTGATAGGGGCTACCACTTTCTATCAAGTACTCTTCGTGAGAGCACTAATGGTACTGCGACCATCCACCCGTCAGCACGGTTAGCACCTTGGGATGTTAGTGTACTTGTTTATGTAATCTCCACTCAGTGGTTGCTTACCAAGGCTAAAGAGCTCTTCACCTGCCCATAAGACATGAATATTCCCCGCCGGTTGCCAAGTTGCTATTTCTATCTCTACGGTTTTATTATTATTATTATTATTATTTATTATATTTGTAATTTGTCTCTTCATAATGAAGTAGGTTGGAATAGGGTCTTTCCCCTCCACATTTTTTTAATGACACCCTTACTAGTTAAGTTTTATCGTGATTCCAATACTAGATGGATAGTCATCCAAGGCTCAGAGAGGCTATCTACCCTCAGGGACGTCTAACTGAAGATTAGGGTTCTCTTACTACAAGTAGGTGTTATGAATAATCAAGAGTGGTTTCCCCTTATTTTCTTACTCTCCTTTTTGAGAGAGCTATTTCTATTTACTGGGAGTATAAAAGGACACTATACGCGAACCTTGGATTCTCAGTTGAATAAAGCTTTCTTAAGGTCTACGCCTGCGTACTTTTGTCATTACAGTAGGCTTATAGCACGCCTGTATACCAAAGCATGTATTATTATTATTATTATTATTATTATTATTAAGTTGATGTCACACATTGACGTAATATATCGAAATTCTGTTCTTAAAGTTTGGTGCCAACAAGACTCTTTACAACTCAAGAACTTTGCGGAGAATCTTCGCAGAGTAAATGATGGCAGTTTTCTAGAGATCTACAATCTTGGTTTCAGTTACAATTCTCCCCTTTCCAACACCTTTTCAGTTTTCTAGACGGTGCTCGCATTACTACAGGGATTACTTCTACATTCATGTTTCATAGCTTCTTCAGCTCCTGAGCCAGATCCTGGTATTTACCTATCTTTTCAGTTTCCTTGGAATCCAATCTTGTATCGTATAACTTGACAATAAGTCCGGGTCTGCGTGCTTCAATGACATCATCTGTCCCATATCTTGCAAATGTCATTTTCTCCCACTGCCTCTGGCTGAGGTTCATACCATTTCTCTTGTCTTCGTTCATTTCTCCTTCATTCAGTCGTTTTTTTTCTCTCGTTTTACTTCAACTTTTGTAAATTTCTCCATTAAACCGATTTTAAATGTTTCTTAGTTGTTCTTCATTATCTTCCTTTTCTTTTTATAGACTAAAATTATATCCTTTATTTTAATTAGCAATCGAATTTTTCATTAGTCATCAGATCTCTGTGCAAACATTATTAAACTAAATATTCCAATGAACAATTTATATATTTAACCCACCGATGATGTATGGACGGAAAATATTTTAAACTATCTTTTTGTTCAAGAAATAATATTTCCCAGTTTTGTTTCTTCGGTGTACCATGTTTTGATCTTGTCTGTCTTATTTTCCCAACCATCTTTAGATGGGAAATATAAGAATCAATTATAAGCAAAACGTTAGAAGTTTAGTTCGTATTGTTTTTCGTTCGTGTCTCCCTCGAATCGTTTATTTGTTCCTTTCAATTCGCCGCCATTGTTCACCTACTGACATTGGTAGCAGGTGATGACTGAATGGACTGTATTGTTATTGATGTTATTATTTTATTGTTGTTGTTGTTGTTGTTGTTGATACATCGGTTGATAAATTTGTAACATACAATAGAATTCAATCAAGCAGATAGAACCGAAAATAGAATGACAATGTAGGGCAGGAATGGAGGAAGGAAGCGAAGAAGTATATATAAGCTTGAAAGAATAGAAATAGAAAAGATAGAACGAAAGAGAAAATAAGCAAGAATGAAGGAACAAGGAAAGGAACGGAAGAAAAGATAAACAGAAAGAGCGTTTGATGAGAAAACAGAAAAGACCTGAGGAACGAAGATAAAGTAAAATGATGCAAAAAAAAAAAAAAATCCCAAAAAACTAAAAGATGAATAAAATAAATAAGATAAAGAAAGAATGAAAAAGGTGTAGAAGAAGGAAGAGAAAAGAAATGATAAAGAAATAAAGGATCACAAACAAATAAAAACGGTAAAGAAAAAAGAAAACGAGAAAGGAACATTTGTTTTACAGAATTGGAGACCTTAATTATCAATCAACGCTCATCGCAATAAATGGTGACATCCTGAAAGATAAACTAATTTTGAAGGGGAATTTACTCTTTTTTTTTCTCCAGTTTTGTTATTCTATCTAATGTAAAAATTGCTGATTTAATTAATTTCCAGTCAAACCTCGTATAATTTACCGT